AAACCTGGTGCAACACTTGTTGTTGGTAGAGTTGGAATTGTTGCATTTGAACCTGCATGGCTTGCATGCATTGCATCAAGTCCTCCAACTGATTCGGGCTGGTCGCTGGGGGCACAACTGAGGGTTCAGCAAAGGTCGCCCCAACTGTGGAAGGGAGTGGAGCGACCGCGGGTGTCACTGTAAGAGCCACGTTCAAGCTGGGGACTCCGTCCACAGAGAGGGGGACGATGAACTGTCCAATACAGACAGTAGGAAGCTGAGGCTGCTCCCCGTAAGCGTTCTGGCTAGTACCACGTCCGGCATTACTGGAAGAAGCCATGAATGCTGATTTTTTTGGAAAAAGAAACTGTAAAAGCTTAGAGGAAGGCTTTTAGAAGCGTTTCCCACTGACGACGCCAAATGATGTGGCACGATCCAAGCACTCCTAGCTGGCTACTGACTGGCTCCTTGTTGGCAACAGATGGCTCCTGAGAAGACGAAGAAGAAGGATTCCCGGGGATTTTCTGGTGGGAATACTCCGAAGCTTAAGTTAGAATGCTGGAGAGTAAGAAAAGAGTGTAAAAGGCTAAGAGTGTAGGTCACGCTAGATCACTGTGCTCGAGAGGTTAGCTCGTGAGCAAGTAAGATTAATTCTAGTTCAGATGAAAATTCCAGAGTGAGTGAATGTGTCTCTCCCCTTCGCCTAAAAGGCTTTTATAGGGGCGTTCTTGTCAAATCGGGCATAACCGCCACTGGGCTCCTATCGCAGCCATTACTTGCCAGGTCTGCGCAGGTGATCTATATAGTGTACTATCCGCTTGGCTGAGTGACATGTCCCAAAGGGGCAAGCACGCCTCCATCTATCGAGAGACATGGGTGCAGACTGTAGAAAGGACAAGGACTACGCCACCTGTCGAGAGACGTAGCGTAGTCTGACTAGTACGGTCTTGTCAGATGGAAGTTGCCTGAGAGCATCGCATCACTCAATCGCAAGTTACTTCGTACAGAGCTATCCTTGCCGCGAGCTACTTTGTAACAAGCTCTTAGGGGTACTTCGAGGTGACCCTCATCAAGGTTGGTCTTTGGGGCAGTTCTTCTGCCCAGGTGCTGGAACGAGTTGGTTTCCCTAGCTCGCGAGCTGAAATAGTCTTGGAGTATTCCCTTTTCAGTAGCTCGGGGGACCTGGAGCTCGCGTTGTAGCGAGCTCCCCCTATAGCGAGCTATGACGTAGCGAGCTGCTCTATAGGCTCGTTACTTAGTTGTGGTCAGGCCATGATGCTGAGTTGTTGCTCGTGCTGAGTCAGGTCCACGTGTCATCGTCTCAGTAGGTTGGGTCAAATCATCCTCCATCAAATGTGAGCCGATCTTCACGACCAATAACTCAGTCATCCAGGTGATGTGTCGAGGTTCTATTCCTATAGTGATGGGTAGGGTTATTCTTCCTTCTGATCTTATAGATGTTCGGGGAATTCGAATAGAGGCATGTCAATGGATTGTAGCTGGTCAGGTGTTAATTGCGTCTTCTCAAACACCTCATAGAAACAAGATGTCGGCTAAAGAACCGTTGTTTATGTGGACTCTTCTCACTTCATAGTTGGAGATTATAATTGAACCACCAATGCATCACTGTGGGGGCACATACACCCCTTTTAGGTCGTCATCTAAGAAGGAGATGAGCTCCTCCAGTCTTTTCTTATTCGGTATCCTGTGCTCAACGTTCATCTGTCAAGCATAGGCTCTTTGGGTTGAGGTAGTCTCTCCCCCGGAAGCTGAGCCTCCTACAATAACATCAATGATCTAGTCCAGATGATGATTAGGTTTGGTTGGTGCTGGTGCATATGACAATGGTGGATTTTAACGCCAATGTAATCTTTCAAATGTCCTTGTCTGATGAGGGACTCTATCTCGTTATTGAGATCATAACAATCTTCAGTGTCGTGGCCTATGCCGCGGTGACATTTACAATATTTCTTTGGGTTTTCCCTTATGTGATTCCTCTTTAATTTGGAGGGCCATTTAATGTACTCCTAGTTCCCTACTTCCATAAGAATATGAGTTCGGGAAGTGTTCAAGGGAGTTTACTTGTCGTAGGATGGTGCCGACGGCTTCTTCTCATTGTTCTTGTTGCTTGGGCTATTGGCCGGTGCATCCTTATGCTTCCTTTTCTTTTTGATAGAGAAAATTTCTAGGTTCTAAAGGCGTTTGTTTGCCTCGACTTCCTCAGCTGTTGTATACTTTTGCACTTTTTTGAGAAATTTTGTCTTGTTCTTAGGCGGTGTCTTAGAAATAGACCACTTGAGGGTTCCCAGGCGAAGGCCACTGATAGCAACAACCATAGATATCGAGGGGTTGAGATCTTTAACCTCGAGTTCCTCCTTGTTGAATCTCTTCATATAGCCTCGAAGGCTCTCCCTTGGTTTCTGTTTGATGGACATCAGGGAGATGGCGGTCTTCTGGCATTGTCGGCTGCTTACAAAGTGGGCAAGATAAAGATCTACGAACTGATCCAAGGAGTTGATGGATCGAGGGGGAGCATGGAGAACTATTTGTGGGCAGCCCCCTTGAAAGTGGCTTGAAAGGCCCTACAGATCAGTGCGTCGGAGTAACTGTGAAGGAGCATTAGGACATGAAAACTCTCCAAGTGGTCCTCCGGATCTATGCTTCTGTCATAGGTTTCAAGAGTATGCACCTTGAAGTTAGGCAGGAGCGGCTTTGAGGTGATGGAGTCAGTGATGGCCTCCATTCGTGTGGACGATGCACGCTGACTGGTAGAGGCATCACATCGACCCTCCTTCACTTGTCTGATCTCATCTTGGATGGCACCTATTTGCGCCTAGAGGTCCCCAAGGTGCTAGTCAATTTGAGGCAAGGGGATCTCAGCTTGCTTTTGGGGCTCTCTCACCAGGAGAGACCTGCATGGTTCATAGAGTTTTTAGACTTGGCCTGATCCCGAGCCCTACGAGCGTGGCGATCGTTGAGATGATTGTGGAGGTTAGAGACTGGTGGGGGAGAGGCATGGCGTCGGCAAGCTCCCGATTGGTGAGGGGGCTGTAGTGGCTAGAGCACCCGTCGTCGTCCCTGTTGTGGTTGGAGGCGGTGCAGGCAACATGATGATCCCTACGGTCTTTCGAAGCATCGTGAACATGAGAGCCGTGATGGTTTCCACCTCGGTTGGGTGGAAGCTGAGATGTGTTGGACTGGTGTTTGCTTGCTCGACGACTGCTACTACCAGAATCCAAGGGGTATTCGGAAATGTGCGCGCCTAAATGCTAGCTCACTGATATGTTTGCAGATTTCCTGCCTTGTTGGTCCTAGCCCCTGAAGGGGCGGCCACCATGTGGGAGGTCTATTGTCGGGCATAGTAATTCATCCAATTGTTGGGCCAGGCTATCTAGTCGTTGGAGCACCGCACTAAAATGCTCGTGAGTGACTAGGTTTTAAGCAAGGGGGACATTGTCTTGGTTATTAGACATTTCCACAAATATTAAGTGACTTGTTAAAGTTTTGTTAAAGGGGAATGATTTTAATTATTTTCCACAGACGACGCCAAATGATGCTACCAAATTTGGAGTTGAGGGTAGCAGAGTAATTTCTGAGGTCCAAGAGTTGTAGGTCCCGCCTGCTAAGAATGAAAAGACGTCAGAGGCATCGATAGTGTTCCTAGGGACAAGGACTCCAACGGTTAAGTTAGCCGAGAGATAGCTCAAAGGAAGCAAAGGTTACCACAAGAGTGTAAGTGATAACTCAATTATGCCGGTGTACCTCTAGCTGTAGTGCCCCTTTTATAGTAGGAGTCGCCCAGGTGGGGAGTAATGCATGATGTAAATGCGCTCAATAGGGTGACTCAGAGAGGCATCGATCGACCATCACCCCACATTAGTGGCTCAATAGTAAATGCACTCAGGACATGTGCCTGCATTAAGTGTTCCGCAATTTTTAAGGGTAGAATACCCTTAGATATCACACAATAATACCCTTACATATCACCAGTCAATAATACCCTATCCGATGCCATGTGTTAGGATCCAGTGAATCGACCAAATATACCTGCATCAATTATAATCAATAATATAAAGAATTTGAAACATCTAGATATCACACAATAATACATCAAACAATATTTGAACTTTATAATCTTCTAAAATTTCACCACATTAGATTATTCTTGGATCTATGGGTTTGATATATCATTGGTAAATTCATCTTATATTTCTTCCATGCTATGAAAACCAATTAGATTACGTGAAACATTTTTTTTTGTAATTTTGTTAGAATTTTCCGAGAAATTAAGAAAAAAGTCACTTTGGCATAAAAAGATTAGTGTTAGATCAAGAGGTTTAGTAGGTTATTTATAGATCGATCTTATAGTTATTTCATATAATCCAATGAAAATCATTTAAAACATATAGCAAATAGTTTATATATATATATATATATTGAAAATTCCCAAATTCTCTAAAGGCCATAGATCCAACAAGCTTAGAACACCTATGTAATTAGATATATTTTGACCGTCCATGCTTTTAAGACATCCATCAAAACTTAAAAATAGCATTTTCCGACCTATGCCAGCGATCTTGAACTTTTATTGGCAGTTAAAATCACCTCTATGGCTTTTAGCAACCACCGATAGAAATTTAAGACGACTGTCGTCACAGGTCCCTTTACTATACTCTTGCGTGCATGACATCGTAAGCGGTGACACGTGTCATATACAAAAAATCTGAAAGCTTTAATAATTTTATTTATTATTAATTAATACTATATATATATTCAAAGTTTACTTATTAGTGGACTTGTTAAGCCCTCTATTCTATTATCTCAAGATTCTCAACCTTGTAGTTTCATTCCACCGTTCGGGCTTAACGAATCCATTGCATATCGTAACGTATTCCACCACATTTCCACATTCCACAACGGAATGTATTTTGGTAATTTCCTGGTTCGAGTGGCCCGCTTTGAAATGACAAAAATATCCCCATCGTCAGGTCCCTCGTTTTCTCTGTGTTTATTATCTGAAACCCGATAAACCTCGTTTGGCTTTACTTATCTCTCCCTCCAGGCTGCAGGTGACTCCGCCGAGACGGCGAGGGGGAAGAAACGAATAGCTCGTCCTCTCTCCGCTCAGGGGAAACATGCCTAAGCAAACTTTCCCTTTCAGTCAATCACGCACCAGAATCTCCGAACGAAAGCCCTAACTTCCTCATTTTCTCTCCATCTCAAGTTTGGCTTCATGGAATCCATTTGCAGTTCGTGTTCCGCATTTAGTGGCACTCATTTATTCCCTCTAACATCCAGAGTTAACCTCCTGTCTCTTACTTCATCTCGATATTCTTCAAACTTGAATTTCTTTAGGAGGAAACATCGTCATTTTCGTCGATTTAGAGGAGAATCCTCGGATAAGCGCCGGATTTTGATTCAGACAACTAAGAACTTTGGCACATTTGCTTCTACAGCATTTTTCAGTGACTCAAAATCTATCAGGGAAGACAGTTCTGTGTCGTTCCCTGTGAATTTTCCAAATGCCGAGAGCAATCTACTCGAATCTGTTCGAAAGGCGATTGTGCTAGCGGTATTTTTTGTAGCTGTTGGTTTCTTACCAAATCGCATCCTTCTAAGGCCCGCCATTGCCGCTGTAAGTGTAGTTTCAAGAGAGGAAGTTAGAAGGAAAGAGGAAGAGTCCAATATAAAGGATCATGAGTACTCGGATTACACTCGAAGATTGTTGGAAACGGTTTCGCGTCTTATTCAGAAAATTGGAGAGGTTAGGTTGTCTAAAGGAGACCTGAAGGGAGTTAAGGAAGCATTGAAGGAGGTTAACTCGAAAAGGAAGGAGTTGCAGGAGGAAATTCTGAAGAGGTTGAATGCTGAGCTGAGAGAGTTGAGAGGTGAGAAAGCAGCCCTTGTCAAACAATCAGGAGATATTATTGATTCAGTGTTAAGGGTTAAGAAGGAGCAGGAAAAGTTGTCGAGGAAGTTGGGTGGTAGAGAGAAATTGAAAAAACAGACTGAGACGCTGGAAGAGAGTATGATTGCTTCGGAGAAGGAGTACAATGCGATATGGGAAAAGGTAAGTGGGATCGAAGATAAGATGTTGAGGAGGGAGACGATGGCTTTCAGCGTCGGCATCAGAGAACTTTCTTTTATTGAGAGAGAAAGTGAGCTTTTAGTGGAGAGGTTCAACCGTGAGTTGAGGCGCCGGCGTGTTGAAAAGCATGGGTAATCCACATCCACTAGTCTCTGAAACACTGAAATTTAATCATATTGGAGTTGTCTGTTAATTTAATTTTGACAAATTACCTCAATATATAAGAATTTGATTTGGGCCATCACGATTATACCTAAGGGTAAGGCTTTAGAATGGCTAGTAGTTCTCATACACTAAACTAATGTCCTACAAATTGCACTATCTGTTGAGAAAACTTTCTCAGTTACGTGCTTTATGTGGATTAATTGGTTCTATATTGAGCTTAAGTCATTCCGAGGTTACTTGAAACGAGACAAATTTGTAAGGTCTGCTGATTGGGTTTAAGGCACTTTGTTCAAGGCTCATGATTGATGGAACATAGCACCTAAACTCTAAATTGTATTGTGAATTTCGATAAGCCTTTAAATAATAAACATGCCACATGTTCAACTAAAGAAACAACAATTGCAAATTGTTTTGTGTCTCTTCATTTTTTTATTAGTAGTCAGTCTTGTTGTTATCTAAGCCTTGTGAACAAGCAGTTTTTTTTAGGTAAGATGCTTTATATCATGGCTAAATCAATGACTAACTTCCTTGATGTATTATATGTCCAAACTCTTGTTGATAAGTAACTTTTAAAATCCCTATCCAATCCCAAAAGAAAGAAAGGTAAACTTAGGAATCTTCCCTTCCCTATTATGAAGACCTCAAATGCCATTAAAGATGAGATTAGTATTGTCTACCCATTGATGAGGGGTAGCAATGACATTCCCTCATGAGCCTCTCCTATTATGAGAAACTCCATTTGAGGAAAAGAGGAGGGAATGGAAACTCAGAAACTGAAAAAAGGATTACTATTGTCCAGGCACCTAACTCCAAATTGATCCTTATCCTAACTAGAGTACCCAGTTTCTATTTTTTTCATTGCCCAATTTTGAAATGTGAAGTTTGAGATTTCTTTTATGTCATAAGAAATTTCCAAAGCCATTGCCCAAAATGCAACTCCTCTTTTTGTTTGTTGGAGAAAAAACATCTATTAAGTGAAATAAGGGTAAAGAATACAAATTATAGGGACCCTTCCAATATGAGGATGATCTCTCTCAAGATGTTGCTTATATCTTATTTTGTACTGTTCTCTTGTACTTTTCCATTCTCATTTTTGACCCCATTTCTTCATTTGTTTTAATAATCTTTACTTCTTTGGTTAACCAGAAAATCAGGAACTAAAAATTCCATGAGAAAGAGGCCATTACGGACACTGCTTGTTCCAAAAAAGTTAGAAGGGGCACTAGTTGACCTAGAGATTCAAGAAACTGAGATGTGTAAACTTTAAACAAGAGACCTTCCTCATCTCATCCAGCCAATAATAAGTTAATGAACTAGAATCCCTGTCAATCTCCACTATCCAGATCAAGGGCATCTATCTATTGAATTAGACCCACATCATAGTTATCAAGGCCTACAGGAAATTCTAACAAAGATAAAACTAACTTCTAGGTTAATTTCTTAGTTTTATATACCAAATAGCATGAATATGCATTGTATAACTAGCAGTGGTCTTTTTAGCATATAGCACTGAATTTTTTCTCTATACATTGTTTTGTGGGGTGACATCTCATCACCTAGATTACTGTAAATTTTTAAGTTTTAATAAAATTTTCTTTTTTATTTACTACCAAAAAAGTAGCTAAAATAAAACAGCATGTTATATCTATTACTATCAATTTTTCAAGCACAATATTATGATATAATTAGTATCAATAAAAAAATTGCATAGTCCCTGTTTTATTTAATGCCTAACAGAGAGAAAGAGTAAGTGCAAAAAAAAAAAAAGAAGGAAAAGAAAACAGAAGAAGAAACCTAGTCAGTGCCTTGACTACTATCATCTATATGGAGTGGGATGTCAATTGTCAAGTGAGCATACACAAAGTACCAAATTTAAGTTTTTTGCGACATCAGGCTTAGGAGGATCCAGATTCCAGTCTCTCATTATTCCAAATTATGTGGTTAGGATCAGTGATTTAAAAGGCGCGCCTAGGCGCACAGGCGAGGCGCATTTCAGGGTATGCGCCTTGCCTAGGTCCTAGGCGCAGCCCTTTCAAAAGGCGCACGCCTGGTGCGCCTAGGCGTGCGCCTAGGCGTGCGCCTTTTGAAAATTTGGCGCTTTTTTGCTTTTTTTTTTGAACATAACGGCTGGGCCGAGGGCTCTGCCCCCGGACCCCCATGCCACACCCCTCAAGGCAAGCCCAAACAAGTCCACATTAGGTCTTAAATTCTTAGTTTTCACACAAAAATAATGATTTTATAGTTTCAATTGCTTTTTAAGAAGACATTTTATTAGGACGAATGAATGAACTGCATTACCAAATTGGGGGTTCTCGGAGCTTCGGTGAACCCCCAATTTGGTAATGTAGTTCATTCATTCATCCTAATAAAATGTCTTCTTAAAAAGCTTAAAACTATAAAATCATTATTTTTGTGTGAAAACTAAGAATTTAAGACCTAATGTGGACTTGTTTGGGCTTGCCTAGAGGGGCGTGGCACACAGGCGACTCCTAGAATCAGGAATGTAACATGTTTTACATTACATTAAGCTATGTGAAGTACTGCAATTGAGTGAAAAAAGAGATTAGAGGTTTTACATGCTTGAAAATGTTTTATATGTGTAAAGAGACTGGGCTGAATGGGCCCTAGTATCTTGTCTTGTAATCTCTTTTCTTTTATTGTTGGCTAATGGGTCTCTCTTAATGGGCCTGTTATTTCTTTTTGTTTAATCTCTTTATGTTACTGCCTAGCTGGCCGCCCACTTAAGGGCATACTTGTCATTACTCTAACTTTAATTCTTAATAAAAAAGGGTTAGAGGAGAAAGGTGAGAGGATTCGATTTCTTCTTCTTCTTCCTTCTCTTTTCGCCATCTTCTTCTCTTGTATTGCTGCTCTTACTTCTCTTCTTCCTCTCCTTCTAATCTTCAAATTTACACCTAATATTTGAGGACTGATTTGCATCTATATGTTTGATTTTATTTTTAAATTCTCATTTGAATATGCTTTACATCTTATGTTTACGTATTTTAATTTTAGATAATAGGTTAATTAGGTTTTTTAAAACATTATTTTAAAATTTAACTTTATATTTTTAGTAATATTATGTTTAATATTTTATTGATTTTTTTGGCATTTTTTTGAATTTTCCAACATTTATTGGATTTTTTAGCATTTTTTTTTGTATTTTTGCGCCTTGCTTCAAAAAGGCACACGCCTCAGGCGCAAATTGACCCCTGCGCCTTGCGCTTTTAAAACACTGGTTAGGATCATTGAATCTGAGTTCAGATCCTCATGATGGAATTGATATAAATCCCCTCTAAATGTTATGTATAGCCACATAATGAACCTTTGCCATTTATTCTGACTCAAGGTTAATAGATCTTGTGGTATCTGCCCCAGAAACCATACCACTCTATTCCTTCCTGAATGTCCCATAAGATGACAATGAAGGAATATATCCAATCTCCATATCATCTTGCCCCTACTACCAAAGTACCAAAGACATGATAATCCATTTATCTCACTGGGTCTTGCATATCAGAAGGGAAATTGAGATTATATTAAAAGGAGGTACATGAGAAGATGTACATCAAGGAGCAAAACAACAAAAATAGATTACAAAGGCAGGACACTGTCACTAAATAAACAATCTCTATGAGCACCAGATTTAGCTAACCCGTCAGCTACAGTGTTCAATTCCCTGGGAATCCAGCTCAGCTTAACCTGCATTGAGTCCAATATGTCTCTAGCTTCTGCTGAAAAATGAGCCGAGCTCCAAGGCTCACTGTCTTTTTCCTTTAACCATCTTATTGTATTAGCAGAATCACCCTCAATAGCTAGAGAGGAAATTCCTAGCATTTTAGCACAGTGAAGTCCCATGAGGGCCGCCACTATTTCTTCCTTTGTAGAGTTAGCAAATCAAGTCGGGCCACTAAAAACCCAACAAATATTCCCATCTCTGTCCTGGATTATACCTCCAATCCCTGCTAGACCGGAAGAGCCTTGGACACTCCCATCAAAGCTTAATCTCATCATCCTTTCCTCCCTTTGATAACAATGGATAAGAGCTGCCTGACTTGGGGAAGAGAAAAGGGTTTCCACTAGGTTTTGTTGAAGATCATTCATAGAGAAGCCAGCAAATTCTCCAGAATTTACAGCCCACAGGCTTCAAAGAAAAGTAATAGAGGAGATTGGATCTTCTACAGTTCTAGCTTTATTCTCAAAAATCCTGTTGTTTCTTTCTTCCAACACACCCCACATAACAGCTTGAACTGCCAATCTCCAATACTAGGGGTGCAACTTTTTCGGGGTTAGGGTTGGGATTTTGTCAAAATTTCTATAGACCCAACCCAAAGCCCGAGCCTGAAACAGTGTAAACTGGTAACTCGGACCAACCTGACTTGCACCCCTATCCAATACAGCTTGCTTCTTCTACCTAATCCTGTACCATTGCCACATAAACTCAACAACCTGCTTAGGAAACACCCTCCTGAGACCAACCATCTTGAGGAAATGATACCAAATCTTTCTGGTTACAGCACAATGCAGAAGAAGATGCTCTGCTGACTCCCCATCATTAAGGCACAGAGGACATGCGTGAGGGGAAATGCACCATTTACCTTTAAACTTTTTGTGTAAGATGTGACATCTATTTACTTTCTTTAGGCAAACCTTCCACACAAAGAAGGAAACTTTTGAAGGAATTTGGGAACATCACAGTTCCTTGAACTGGAAATTAGAGTCACTCACTTGACACTAGTGCATTGAAAAAGGAATTTGTAGAGAACTTTCCAGCAGGGTTAAGGGGCCAAACTCTTTAATCAGGGGTATTTGGGGAAAGATAGACCTCTCTAAGGGTATGTAACAGGTTTCCAAGTTCGGCTATTTCTACTTCTCTCAGGAGTCTTCTGAGATTTAGGTTCCAATTAAAGCTCAAGGTTGAAAGGGTAAGTTAAGAGGAAATTGTGGCTTCTTGGGTTTGGGATAGGTTGAAGATTCGAGGGAAAGCACTAGCTAAGGGTCTTTCACCCCACCAAAGGTTGGTCCAGAATCTAATCAGATTTTCGTTTCTCACCTTATATCTAATAAAAGAAATGAATAAGTCGTAGGTTGATGAGATACCTTTCTAGGGGCTGTTTGCTTCACTCAGTTCAAGTGGACCTTGCTATCCCATCCATTCTTGTTTCTCCCTTACTTGCTGCTGATGGTGGAAGTCCAAGTGGATCCCAACTCAATAGGAAATCTCCATAACCATTTCCCAAGTAAGGCTTCATTCCTCTCTTTTATATGGCCAATTCCTAACCCACCAACTTCCATAGGCTTACAAACCTGATTCCACCTTACTAAATGACAAGTCTTCTCATTTCCACTGTCCCACAAAAAATCATGCTGGAGTTTCTCAATCTTGTTTTTATTTTAATTGGGACTCAGAAAACAGAAATAAAGTATGTTGGCAAGTTTGCAAGAGATGTTTTTATTAAAGTAAGCCTGCCCCCTTTTGAGAGATAACATTTCTTCCAGGTAGCAGTCTTCTTTCGCACTTCTCAATCACTGGGTCTCAAAAAACTTGACTTCTCGGGTTTCCATCTGGAGGCATCCCTAAATGGGAGATTGGGAGCTTTTCCAATTTGCAACCTGGCACTTCCTTGAATCTGTCCAGGATTTCATCACTAACATTCAGGCCTACCATACTACTTTTTGAAAAGTTTACCTGAAGCCCTGTAACATTTTCAATGCAATTAATCACCCACTTCAAGTTGTAGATGCTATACCCGTCTGCTTCCAAGAAAAGAATAATGTCATCTGTAAAAAGTAGGTGGGAAACTTGGACTTCTTCTCTGTCCCTACTCCAAAGCTTTTTAACAAAGATTGTTCCTTTGCCTTCTCAATTAAATAACTGAAAATATCAGCTACCAAGGTAAAGAGTAAGTGGGACAGAGGGCAGCCCTGCCTTAAGCCCCTGCTGGCCTTAAAATAACATTTATGCTCACCATTTATCAATAGAGAGATCCATGTAGAGCTGATGCAACCTTTGATCCAGCTCATCCATCTTCTACCAAAACCTTTCCATTTCAAGATCTCTAGGAGACAGTCCCAATTTACTTTGTTGTAAGCCTTCTCCAAATCAAGCTTAACTATTACCCCAGGCTTGCCTTTTTGTCTTCTTTCCTCCATGCACTTGTTAGCTATTAAAATGCTGTCAATAATCTGCCTCACAAATGTGAACTGATTGGAAGAGATGAAATCTCCTAAAACCTCCTTCAATCTGGTTGCCAAAACTTTAGCTAGAATTTTATATAAGCTTCCAACCATACTGATAGGCCTGAACTCCTTTTCTTCCAATACAACTGCCTTTTTTGGAATTAATGTGATGAATGTTGAATTGATTCCTTTATTTACTATGTCTGAATGGTAAAAATCTGCACAGACCTCCATTACATCCTTATTTACCGTGTCCCAGCATAATTGATAAAACAAAATGGGAAACCCATCCGAACCTAGGGCTCTATCACCATCCATGCTGAAAATTGCATCTTTAATTTCTTGCTCTTCAAACTCCTTCTCTAGCCCAAGGTTCAAAGTATTGATGCGCCCTTGTGTATTGGCAAAGGCGTATTGGTACTAAAAAACATGTGCTTTTATATATTTCTTTTAGTTTGCTTTTTCAAAAACCAGTTTTTGGGTATATATATTATTATTAAAAAAAAGAGGGTCTAGCCAAACTTGCTTATCTTCTGACAAGGTAGGGCCATTCCAGCTATTCAAAGTAGCGCTCCGAAATCCTGTCTTAGAGTACACCTCCTTAAAGTGTTTTATAAGGGCATCTGCTATTTCCCCTTCCTCTTCTATTTCACTCTGGTCCACCTTCAGCTTGGAAGTGTAGCTTTTCCTTTGCCTTCCTGAAGCATAGTTATGGAAAAACCTTGTATTATTATGATATTATCACCTTTAACCATCTCACTCTAGATCTCTGTCTCCAGAAAACCTCTTCCCTTTTACTATCTTTTCCCACTCTTTCAATTCTTTGATTAGTTTGTTTTTCTCTTTGCAAAAAGCCCTGAATTCCTCCCCACCTCACACTTTTAATTTTTTCTTCAGATGCTTCAATTTTTGCTGGAATCAGAAGCCAGCCCACCCTTCCACCCTACACTCCCACCAATCTGCCACTTTTTGCTGAAACTCTTTATGAACTGTCCATACCAATCTTTAATTTTTTCTTCAGATGCTTCAATTTTTGCTGGAATCGGAAGCCAGCCCACCATTCCACCCTACACATAGGACATCTTTTTTAAAAGAGATTTGGAAAGTGTTCCTCCCAGTCTACTGTTGTCAAAAATTTATCAAGCCTGCAGATAACCGCATTTTCCTGCATGTTAGACCAGGTAAAGGTCCCGTTATGGATAGGGTAATCCCGGAGATTATGTCTTGGAATGAAATGGAAAAGTCCTTCATGCTCCTGGTTAGTCTCCTGCACTTAGAGCTCTCGTTACAGAGCCTTGTAACATTAAAATCACCACCAATACACCAAGGGATATCTGCAAACTCGTGAAGAGAATCCAGTTCTTCCCAGAATCTGTCTCTTTATGTGGGAGAATTGGGACCATAAACTCCTGTAAGAATCCAATTGAAACCGTCGCAAATGTTTGTGAAAAGTACTAAGATAGAGAAATCTCCTTTATCCACCTCCAAACCTGACACAACCTCTTCTTTCCACACGATGATAATTCCACATGCTGTTCCATTTGCTGGAAGAGCTACCCACTTTGACTAGGCATCTCTTTAACTTCCCTCCCAATCCCCTCACATTCCAACTTAAAATCTTCATTGAGATTCTAGGATAGCCTTACCCTTAAGCCCTTTTGCCACGTGGCAGTGGAGTAGGCAAAAGATGCTGCGTTATCAAGGCAGGACGACTCGAGAAAGCTTCAGGAATCCAGGAGAAACAAAGAGTTTGAGAAAGGAAAAAGCCTAGGAATATTGAAGAATGTACAGGTGGCGACCGAAAATGGAATTGGAGTTCTTAATCTTACTCATTGTTTTAGCGAAGAAATTGGCACATAAGTGCCTTGGGAAGATGGAAGAGCTTTTGGCTTCGGGGAAAAGGACAGGTAGAGAAAATCAGAAAGGTTGGAGAGAATTAAGAGAGAGGCTGGKGCGGGAAGTATAACAATGAGAAGAGGAAATTCAAATGGCTGGTGCGGGAGATGGAAGTTAAGACATGTTGGATTAAGAGATCAGCTAATTCCCTAGCTGACGGTTTAGCAAAACAAGGGGCAGAAAGGGATTCCTTGTTTTGGGCTAAGTTGTAATGTTAGTGTCCTTGTATCTTTGTATTTTCTTCCTTCCTTTCTTGAAGTTCTTTGTGACTCTTGGAAGATAAGTGTGTTTGTCTTCCACTTGTAAATTTTCTACTGATGAATTAATGAAAGTGTTATTGATAAAAAAAAAAAATTAAGAGAGAGGCTATCTGGGGAGACTATGGTTGATGCGGATCGGAGGGTGGAGATTAACTGGGGAAAAACCACTGCTGTGAACTCTGCTAGATCAGAATTAAAGGGGTTTGCGAACCGGGGCGAACCAGGTTTGGTTCAAACCCTTGAGACCCATACCACAGGTAAGACACGACCTCTACTCGACAGAGGGCTAAACCAGGGAAAAACCTGACTAGAGGCTTATCATCTGAGGGTGAATATATGGTGAGAAGTGAGCAACCACAAGAGCCACAAAGCACGTGTAACTCCTAAACAGAAATTGTGATGCGGGACCAAATTTAAGGTAGCTCTCCTGAGGCTTTACCGCTGGCCATTATCACCGCAGATGACTAGAGCTTAACAGGTATGTATGGAAAGAGTTCTGAAAACTCGGGAAGAGGGGAGAGAAATATGGAAAAAGGGGCTTTTCACCTGGGAGAACAGGGGGATCCATCCCCATGGGTAATTTCAAAGCTTATACAATTTGGGGAATTTTTAGGGTTTTCCTTGAGAGGGATGGAGGAAATTACTAAAGGTTATTTAATGGAAGTTGAAAGGAGGACGTTAGAGGAAAGAGGAAGAAAGGGGAGGAGACTGAAAGGGAGCTCTTCAGATTAGCTTGGGAGCTAAATGAGAGAATGGGTACTTTAGGAGGAGGTGAGCTGAGTGGAAGGAGGTGAAGAGGAAGTGGTCTGGCTTTCGAAGTTTCGTCTCTCTATTTTCCTTTTTATCCATCATGAAGATTGTCTCATGGAATGCAAGAGGTTTAAATTCTGGCTGTAGGAGGATAGTGATTGGAGCCCAGGTGAAGAAATGGAATCCCAACGTCCTTTGTCTTCAAGAGACTAAATTGGAGACTATGGAGCTGTCTCAAACTAGATCGATTTGGGGCGACAGGAACTGCGATTGGGAGTGTGTTCCAGCAATAGGAACAGCAGGTGGATTGGTTATTGTTTGGGATCCGGATGTAGTGGGGATGAAGGGTAAACTTGTGGGGCAATTTTCTTTGTCCATTTTGTTCCAGATGGTTGAGGATGGTTGGGAATGGATTTTTATGGGGTGTATGGGCCAAATGAAAATGGGTTGAAGAGGATGTTCTGGGTGGAACTTGACGGGGTAAAAGGAAGGTAGGACAAACCTTGGGTTTTAGGGGGTGATTTTAACACCACCAGATTCGACCATGAGAAAAAAGGAGGCAGTAGGGCTTTGAGGGGTATCAGGGGCTTTGGGGAATTCATGAGCAGATGGAAGTTAGTGGGTTTTCCTCTAGTGGGAACAAAATTCACCTGGGCCAATAACCAGGAGGAGGCAATTTTGGAAAAGCTAGACAGGTTTGTAGTGTCGCCAGAATGGGAGGAACAATTTAACCATAGACCAATCTGTTTAGATAGTAATGGAACTCCTCCTAAACCTACCCTGTTCAGATTTGAGAACCTTTGGCTGGAAGAGGAAGGTTTTGTAAGTATGCTCGAATCATGGTGGCTGCAATTTTAGTTTGAAGGATAAAAAAGATTCAGAATTGCTAAGAAGCTAAAGTTCCTCAAGGAGAAGTTAAAAACATCGAGAAAGCTGGTTTTCAAAGGAGTGGAGGTAAGGAATAAAGAATGCTTGGATATAATAATGGAGGTGGATAAAGCAGAAGAGAATGGGCAGATCATGGAAGGGGGATAAAGAAAGGAGAGCGAAGTATGATTTTGACAAACTTGCTTTTCAAGAGGAGATGAAATGGAGACAAAGATCGAAATGTCTGTGGCTGAAGGGAGGTGACAAAAATACTAGATTCTTCCACAAAATGGCAAGTGTTAGAAGAAGAGAAACTATGATAAAAATGCTGGTTATAGATGGGGAAGTGGTGGAGGAAGAGGGAAGAATCAGAGAAGCAGCTGTTTTTTTTTTTTTTTTTTTCTAAACTTTACAAAGAAGTTTGGAAGAAAAGACCCAAGGTAGATGGACTGGATCTTAACAACTTTCCTGAAGACCAGATGAGGAATCTGGAGAGGGCATTCACAGAGCAGGAGGTTTGGGAAGCAATTAAAGAAATGGAAGGTGATAAGGCTCCGGGACCAGATGGCTTCACTATGAAGTTTTTAAGAAGTGTTGGAGTTTTCTGAAAGAAGATCTAATGGCTGTTTTCTCAGAATTCCATGCTTCAGCTGCTTTTGAGGGGAGTCTCAACTCCACTTTTATATCTCTAATCTCGAATAGGAATGGCAACGGGGCCGGGATCATATTCCCCGTCCCCGCCCCCGATTCTGAAATTAACCCCATCCCCATCCCCGTCCCCAATACCCACCGGGGATAAAATTTGTCCTCCATCCCCGATCCCTGATGGGGATGGGTTCCCCGCAGGAACCCGAATCCCTGAAATTTTTTTAGATAATAGTATTTATTTTGAAAAATAAATTTACTTAAAATAAATAAAAATTTTAAATTATAATTAATGTTTTAAATATGTTTTGATATATATATATATATATATATATATATATATATATATATAATATACATTTAATATAAATAACATTTATATGTATAAAATCGGGGTCGGGGATTCCTATTAATCCCTGTCCCCGCCCCACCAAAACAATCCCCATCCTCGACCTCATCGGGTCGGGGAAGCCAGGTCCCCGTCGGGGATGGGGAAAATTGCCATCCCTAATCTTGAAAAAGAATGGTGCTGAAGAATTAAAGGACTTAAGGCCAAGTCTCATTGGTAGCATTTACAAAATTCTATCAAAATTCAAAAGTTCTAGCTAAAAGAATGAAACCAGTCATGGGACATGTTACATCTGAATTCCAAGGTGCATTTGTTGAGGGGAGACAAATGGTGGATGGTGTATTAATTGCAAAAGAGCTGATAGATTCCCGGATTAGAAGTGGGAGAGCAGGTTTGCTATGCAAGATGGATCCGGAAAAAAGCATACGATCATGCGAACTGGGATTTTTTGGATTACATTTTAAGGAGAATGAACTTCAGTTCCAGGTGGAGGAATTGGATGAAGGTGTGTGTAACTACTCCCTCTCTTTCTGTTTTGGTGAATGCTAGGGCATGTGGTCATTTCAGGAGTTCAAGGGGCTTAAGGCAGGGGGATCCCTTATCTCCGCTGCTGTTTTTGTGTGTGATGGAAGTTTTAGGGAAATTGACTTGGAGAGCAGTGCCAGGGGTTTTCTTGGAAGATTTCAGGGTGGGAGAAAACAGGCTGGAGATTCCTCTATTACATTTTGCAGATGACTCAGTTTTTTTTTTCTCCTGCAATGCATCCAGGGAGCAAATTGATACTCTTATGGCCATTCTTTGGTGGTTTGATGTGGTTTCGGGGTTACACTTGAATGTTCACAAAAGTGAACTGGTGGCAGTGGGAGAGGTTCAAGAGCTGCAATTTTGGGCTGACTCTTGGGGGTTTAAAGTAGGAAAGTTCCCCTTAAATTGTTTGGGTATGCCCTTAGGGGATAAGTGCAATTCCAAGTCTATTTGAGAACCCATTTTGGAGAGGAATGAGAAGAGGTTGGCTGGATGGAAATCGAGGTATCCATCAAAGGGAGGTAAGCTTACACCAATTAAGAATGTCCTCTCCTCCCTCCCTGTTTTCTTTCTTTCCCTGTATCCATTTCCAGCTGGGGTTGCCAGATCCGATTGAGAGGAAAATGAGAGAGTTTCTGTGGAAGGGGTGGAAGGAGAGTAAGAAAGTTCATTTAGTTAATTGGGGAAAGGTGTGCAAACAAAAAAAGAAGGGAGGGCTGGGAAGAAGAAAAATTCGGGAAATGAATTTAGCCTTTCTTGGCAAGTGGTTTTGGAGGTTTGGTCACCAAAGGAATTGCTTGTGGAAGAGAGTAATTGAAGCAAAATATGGTTCAAGGAATGAAGATTGGGTCCGTGTTGATGCAAATCAGTCGTATGGTTGTTCGGTTTGGAAGGGAATTGAAAAAAGCTACAGTGCTTTTAGTAAGGAAATCAAGTTTGTAGTGGGAAGGGGTACTAGAGTTACTTTCTGGTTGGATCATTGGTGTGGAAACAATATGCTAAAGGATGATTTCCAAGAATTATTTGCAATTGCAGCAAACAAGGAGGCAAAAGTGGCTGAATATGTACAGTCTCAAAATGGGTATGGGTAGGCTTCTTCTAAGGCTGTACAACACCCAAATCGACATCAACACAGCAGACAAAAGGGTATGGTTAGCAGATAGCAAAGGCCAGTTCTTGGTGAAATCTTTCTATAGTATACTGACTCAAGAAGGAGAAGATCTGGATTTCCCTGTGCATGTAATCTGGTGCAGACACATTCCATTGAAGGTGTCTTTCTTTATTTGGGATGCTTACGTGAATAACATTCCTACAAGAGACAAGTTGGTTGGTAGGGGTGTGTTGATTGACTCTAAAAGGTGTGTCTTGTGTAACAGTGCTGATGAGTCTGTTGACCACCTGTTACTGCACTGTGGCGCCACTCACTTTCTTTCCCTTCTCTTTCTTTCTTTTTCTTTTTCTTTCCCTTTCCTTTCCTTTCCTTTTTTTTTTTCCCTTTTTTCTTTCCTTTTTATTTTTTTGTCTTTTTACATGAGGTGTACGCCTCTAGCACGCCTCATGAAAAAAGTGTACGAGGCGTATGCCTCAGAGGTGTCAGTGCCTCTGGCATACGCCTCAGGGTGCTTTGGGGGCACCTCGCCTGGAGGCGCACCTCCAGGCGTACGCCCCCCACGCCTTTTAAAACACTGATACATATTTATTCTTTATTCTATCTTAATAAAATTTTCACAGTTACCAAGAAAAATGGATTTTTACGAACAATGGTAAATGATCCTTTGTATCCCACATCCACAGGTGTGGATGTACATCAGGGGATGTGCAAAGCCTTATCAGCAAAACAAAAATAAAAGACAAGACCCACTAAATTGGCAATGTATGAGCACTATACAAAAAGTCCCTTCCCAGCCCAGATTTAGCTAGACTATCAGCCACTTGATTTAATTCTCCTAGGAATCCATCTAAAACTGCACTGTAAGCAAGAGGCAAGCTCCCTGATTTCTTACAGCATATGGGATAGCTTCCATGGGTCAAGAGTCTGTCCAGAATCCCAATTTATAACATTCCTCGAATCTCCTTCCACTGCAATGAAACTGAGCTGATGTGACTTGGCGATTCTGAGGCCCTCCAGGAGGGCCCTAGCCTCTGCTTCAGAAGCATCAGCAGCCTTGGAAGGGCCACTATAGGCCCAAGTCAAATCTCCATTTGCTCTTTGAATCTCTTTTGATGCTAAGGCGTCTAAAAGTTTAAATATGTTTGACATTTTCTTTTAGGCGAATCCATGTTGTTGAAACTCTTATGAGAAAAATGTAGGTTAACGGTTTTCTTTATTATTATTCTTTTTGTAGAATACCAGCAAGTTGTTGTTATTATTATTATTATTATTATTATTATTATTATTATTCAATGTTAAACAAGCAGGTTAGATAAGCTAAACATAGGCCACTGACCATAAAGCATTGTGCTCGTAGTCTTTGGCCTGTACTTCTCGTATACTAGTTGTATGTTATTGTATGAAGATGCTAGTTAGATAGTTGGTAAGGTTCTTACATCATACATAAGTTCAAATCATCTCTTGATTCCCCAGCTACTGACAATTGACTGAGGCTATTATTGGATTAGATCAATCTTGCTATCATTTTGATCTAATCCAATTAAGGCATATCTCCAGCCTATTGTAGATCCTTTCCATTGGATGTGGATCTTAAACAGCTGATGTGAGTGATTGCAACATGAATCCACCCTAATTGAATCTTAGAACAAAAAAAACCAATAATATGTATGTAGATCTCTGTTGTGCATGCTAATTTGTACATACGATTGATTGAATTTACAAATAATTAGATGCTTAGTTGGTCCAAGTCTTGTGTGTATAGAAAATATTTAGTAGCTTACTTTGTAAATCTTCTATGCCCTCACCCCCAACTAAGATTGTGTTTGGATCATGGGACTGGATGTGGATTCTGTCTTCAAATGACTACCCCACAGGAAATTTTAATACTGCAAGAATGTCAATTTGGATCATGGGACT